CTGGCACAAAAACAGAAATATAGACCAATGGAACAAGACAGAAAGTCCAGAGATAAACCCATGCACCTATGGGTACCTTATTTTTGACAAAGGAGGCAAGAATGTACAATGGGGCAAAGGTAGCCTCATCAATAAGTGCTGCTGGGAAAACTGGACAGCTACGTGTAAAAAAAATGAAATTAAAACACTTCCTAACACCATACACAAAGATAAACTCAAAATGTATTAAAGACATAAATATAAGACTAAAAACCATAGAACTCTTAGAGGAAAACATAGGCAGAACCCTCTATGACGTAAATCACAGCAAGATTCTCTATGACCCACCTCCTGGAGTAATGGAAATAAAAGTAACAATAAACAAGTGGGACCTAATTAAACTTAAAAGCTTTTGCACAGCAAAGGAAGCTATACAGTTCAGTTCAGTCACTCAGTCATGTCTGACTCTTTGCGACCCCATGGACTGTAGCACACGAGGCCTCCCTGTCCATCACCAACTCCTGGAGTTTACTCAAACTCATGTCCATTGAGTCGGTGATGCCATCCAACCATCTCATCCTCTGTCATCCCCTTCTCCTCCCACTTTCAATTTTTCCCAGAATCAGGGTCTTTTCAAGTGAGTCAGCTCTTTACTGACTCATTTGAAACTATAAACAAGGAAACTAAAAACAAGGTGAAAAGACAACCCTCAGAATGGGAGAAAATAAGAACAAATGAAACAACTGACAGGATTAATTTCCAAAATATACAAGTAGCTCATACAAGTCAATACCAGAAAAACAAACGACCCAATCCAACCATGGGAAAATGACCTAAACAGACATTTCTTCAAAGAAGACATATAGATGGCTAACAAACACATGAAAAGATGCTCAACATTTCTCATTATTAGAGAAATGTAAAAACTACAATGATATATCACCTCACAGGAGTCAGAATGACAATCATCAAAAAGTCTACAAACAATAAATCCTAGAAAGGTGTGGAGAAAAGGGAACCCTCTGCACTGTTGGTGGGAATGTAAACTGATACAGCCACTATGGAGAACAGTATGGGGATTCCTTCAAAACTAGGAATGATGTCAATGTATGACAAGACCCACTGTGGTATTGTAAAGTGATTAGCCTCCAACTAATAAAAATAAATGAAAAAAAAAACTAGGAATAAAACCACCATATGACCCAGCAATCCCACTACTAAGGCTATAGTAGCAGTTTCCCTGAGGAAACCAAAATTGACAAAGACACATGTACCCCAATGTTCATTGCAGTACTATTTACAATAGCTAGAACATGGACGCAACCTAGATGTCCATCAACAGACAAATGGATAAAGGAGCTGTGGTACATATATACAATGGAATATTACTCAGCCATAAAGGAATGCATTTCAGTCAGTTCTAATGAGGTAGATGAATCTAGAACCTATTATACAGAGGGAAATAAGTCAGACAGAGAAAAACAAGTATCATATACTAATGCATATGTATGGAATCTAGAAAGATGGTACTGATGAAATTATTTGCAGGGCAGCAATGAAGACACAGACATAGAGAACATACTTCAGGAGACAGCGGAGAGTGGGGAAGAAGGAGAGGGTGGGATATATGGATAAAGTAACATGGAAACATACCATACCATATGTAAAATAGATAGCTAATGGGAATTTGCTATATGACTCAGAGAACCTAAGCTGGGGCTCTGTAACAACCTAGAGAGGTGGGATGGGGAGGGAGACGGAAGGGAGGTTCAAGAGGGAGGGGACATAGGTATATCTACGCCATGTTGCTACTTGGCAGAAACAACACAATTCTGTAAAGCAATTATCCTTCAATTTAAAAATAAATAAATTTAAAATTAAAAAAGACGTGACATCATAAAACTCTTGAAGAGAACATAGGCAAAACATTCTTAGCCATATATCATAGCCATATTTTCTTAAATCAGTTTCCCAAGGCAAAATAAATAAAAGCAGAAAGTAAAGGAGACCTAATCAAACTTAAAAGCTTTTGCACAGCAATAGAAGTAATCACCAAAACAAAATGACAACTTATGGAATGGGTGAAAATATCTGCAAATGGTGCGACCAAAAGGGGCTTATATCCAAAATATACAAATAGCTCATACAAATCAGTATCAAATAAATAAGCAACCCAATCAATCGAAAAATGAGCAGAAGACCTAAACAGACATTTCTCCAAAGAAGACATACACATTGGTAACAGGCACATGAAAAGATGCTATTTTTTAGAGTTAGAAAACACAACTAATTATTAGAGAAACGCAAATCAAAACCACAATGAAGTATCACCTCTCACCAGTCAGAATGGCTATCATCAAAAAACCTACCAATAATAAATGTGGGAGAGAATGTGGGGAACAGGGAACCCTTACATATTGTTGGTGGGAATGTAAATTATTGCAGTCACTGTGGAAAACATCATGGAGCTCCTTAAAAAACTAAACATAGAGCTACCATATGATCCAGCAATTCCATTCCTGGAAAAATTTAAAAAACAACAACAAAAACTCTAATTGAAAAGAAACACGCACCTCAATGTTCACAGCAACACCATTTACAACAGCCAAGACAGACAAACAACCCAAATGTCCGTCAACATTACATATACACCACAGCTTCCTAAATATACATATATTATATATAGGCTTTCCTGGTGGCTCAGAAGGTAAAGAATCTGCTTGCGATGTGGAAGAACCCAGTTTGATCCCCAGGTTGGGAAGATCCTCTGGAGAAGGGCATGGCAACCCACTCCAGTATTCTTGCCTAGAAAATTCCACGGACAGAGGAGCTTGGTGGGCTACAGTCCATGGGATTGCAAAGTCGGACACGACTGAGCAACTAACACACAGATACATTATATATATGTAACTGCATCATTTTGCTGTGTACCTGAAACATAATATTGTAAATCAACTATACTTCAATTAAAAAACACCTAAAATAAATTTTTAAAAATAAACCAAAATGGAAATACTTAAAAAACTGAGCTCACTTTCCTGATGCCTTTGCCCATAAAACTTGACCTGAAGTGACAGGAAGCAATCTGTAGTTTTTATATATCTTGGAGTGAATATTTATATGTTTCAGTGCAGAATTATTTTATTAGATTCAGTAGTATTACTCTAAACTCTGCTACGGATCTTGTGCAATGTATGGTGTATGAATTCTGAAATACTTAGTTCCAAGAATTTAGGATTTTAACATAATTCTGTCAGCAGAGTAAATAAAAACTAAGTAAAACTGCAGTTTATCATTTGATTGAATTTATTGAATTCTTCGTTCAGTCTTCAAATGATTATATAATTTTTCTCCTTTGACTTATTGATATAATGGATTATTAAAATTTTCAAATATTTCCTAAACTATACCAAGCTCTCATGACTAGGAAACTACCAGGTTTTGGTAGATTTGCATATACTGTTGAATTTTATTCACTCTAGTTTTATTGATTAAAAATGTAATCTATGTTCATTAAAGAGATAGAGTCATATCTTTCTGTTTGTATGTGTGTGTGGTATACCATATCTTCTAGGTCTTAGAATCAGGGTTTAGACTCGCTTCATTAAGTAATTTTAGAAGCTTGCTATCTTTTCTTCTAGCTTCTAGGTAGATTTTTTTTTATTGTTTTAGGAATTTTTGTTTGTTTTAGGAATTTTTGATTCATTAAAAGAATGGGATGACAATACTCAACTTTCCTTGTGCATTCAATATTAATTTTGATTCCAAAACCTAGTGGAAGAATAAAATCATTTTCTGATTAAGGTCCAGCTATTCAAAAGTGCATTTTAGGAAAGGTAGAGGGATACACTAACATAGATGCTGATTTCATAAGGATTTGAGTGACTGTTCTAGTTCCACCACTTATTCAGTGTATGACTTTCAGCAAGTTGCTTAATCTTTCAGCCCTGAGTTTCTTCATCTGGGAAACGGTCCCCTCTTTTGCATTGTTCACCCCAAATTTAGCAAAGGGCAAATTTTACATCATTACTCATCAGTTAATGCACAAGCCTGCTGGGATCAAGAGAAAAATGTGTGTTGATTTACAAAGTCACAATTAGCATCAACAAGTGAGAGGTAATAACTATTTAAGGAAATTGTATGTATTTCTGAACTTTTATTAATCTTGGAGTTATGCTTATCATTTCTATTTTCCACACACAGATTATTTCTGTATCACCTATTCTTTAATTTTTTGAAAAGAACACACATGCATGCTCTTAAAAGTTAAATAGTAACACTAGACTTCAAGAAAATCAGAAATCAGTTGATTCTAAATGCTTTCTCACACACATACCCTACCCATTCCTACGCTGGCTCCCTGGGTCAACTTTCATCTTCTTTTCTGTTTCTCTGTAATTTACTATGGTATTTCTAAATCATAGCCCCTGGAGAAGGAAATGGCGACCCACTTCAGTATTCTTGCCTGGGAAATCCCATGGACAGACAAGCCTGGCGGGCTACAGCAACAATTGAAATGTAGTTGCTTTACAATGTTGTATTAGTTTCTATTGTGCAGCAAATTGAATTGTTGTTGCTCGGTCTCTAAGTCATGTTCCACTCTTGCAACCTCAGACTGTAGCCCGCCAGGCTCCTCTGTCCATGGGATTTCCCGGGCAAGAATACTGGAGTGCGTTGCCATTTCCTTGTCCAGGGGATCTTCCTGACCTTGGGATAGAACTCTCATCTCCCTGCAATGGCAGGCGTTTTTGGTTTGTTTGTTTGTTGTTGTTTAACCACGGATCCATCAGGGAAGCCCATACTGATTATAACATATTGCAAAGATGACCACACAAGTCAGGACTTCTGGTTCTAACTCCCCCGCGTAAAGAAGCTGGAAATCGTCACCCCCTTTCTTATAACAAGAAGATTCTGGAAAAACTGAATCAAATTTTAAAAATAATCATTGGCCAGCCGAGGTTATAGCGCAAACCACCACCGCGAAAGGCAGGTTCATAGAGGCACAGCGGATATCTGCTTACCTGGAACAGATGTCTGTAGAACCATAAACATCCAACATGTAAATAGTAAATTCGCTGAATTGTTTAAAGCTGAGCGTAGAATCGTATGAGAGTAAGGAAGCCTCCATGTATCCGTGGGCTTTACCTTCAGGAAAATTTCCCCTCGTCCAGGCAGTGTGAGGCAAAACTATAAATCCAGAGGTCAGAGACGGATGCGTGGAAACTCCATCCCGCACTTGCTGCAGAAGCTGTGCAGCGCTTGGTGGGTGTGGGATCAGTACGTGATGTTCTTGAGCCAAGGAGGGGCAGGCACTAAGGGCAAGAGGAGGCAGTGTCTGAGCTGCTTCTTTCTGAACAGTCTGCAAACAAACCAGAACTCACAGGTTTGCAGGCACGAGCTTCATATTTAACTGTGCTACACCGGCAGCCTCTGGTGTAGTTCACCAGACCTGTGGACTCAAAGGTGTGGAGCAAATTTGGCCGTATGCATGCAGCTGAGGCCTCACAGCTTCCCCCAAGGTCTCCCACAGCTGGTGGCTACGTGCTCAATTGTATCTCATTGCAGGACACGGCAGGCTCCAGGGCGGCGCATGTAGCTATGCATCTTTGGAGTCCGCTACACTAGCCTTCGGGCTTTGTATCAGTAGTGTTCTTTGTAGCCACTGGGCTCCCGACCTTGGACAAGCCGGTGCTAGGTTCCAAGAACAAAATGGCTGCGCTGGTGGGGGCAGGGAGGGTGAGGATGAGGGTTGGGAGTCAAGAACAGGGGGATTAGGACCCCTGGGCTGCTCTTGGCTTTGCGATTGGGCTGCAGTTTTCTTCCTTACTCTGCCTATGACTTTCTCAACCATAAAGGCAAATCTGACCAGGTCAACACCCAACAGTACAGGGTGAGGGGTGGGAATATTGGGGCCGTGTGCTCAGGTTCTAACAATTTACAGGGTCGTCCCTTTTTCTGCATTACCAAGATTGGCTAGTTGTTGCAAATGAGGCCGAGACCCTTCCCCCTGAACCTAAAATAACTTTACTGGTGTATCATTTTGGAGAATTGTAGTGCTTTTTCCAAAGAGATATTTTTAGATCAGCCACAGACAAATGGAAATTAGCTGTATGTATCCATGCTCATTCTGTTATACACCTGCCCTGTGACCCTGAAATGGTCCTGAAATTCTTGGGTCCCAGAAATCTCATATGAGAAAAGGGGAATAATATTCTGTATTCCAAAGTGGTGGATAGTAAATTCAGGAACATATTTGAAGTACTATTTAATACAGCAGAAGGGAATTGGATTTATGTCTATATTATTTCTAAATTCGTTCTCCAATAATTTCCTAAGTTTTAAAAACTTTTGTTAGATTTATTTTTAGTTTCTTTCAATGCCAAGATTCAGGAAGTGTTCTGGATACTAAATGGGTAAAAGCCAGCATAACTTGATCTTTTCCTCAAGCATCACAATCTACTGTGGTAGATATACACACAAATTACACGAAAGTGTTTTGAGAATTAGCAGTATTTTAGGGGTATTGTGAGATTGCAAAAGAGAGACGCAAAGAAAAGGGCTGAATACTGGGATAGACTGGAGATGAGTACCCAAAAAGGAAACAGGATTCTCAAGACAGCCATGACCTTGGAAGCAAAACAGAAGCAATTGTTATTCCAATACCCACTAACTGTCATTGAGGTCAGTAGCCATCAGGTGTCCTACAGGCAGGTGGGGCAGGCAAGACTGCTATACTACTTTCAAGGGCTTTACCACAGGAACACCTGAACTCTACCTACATTTTGGGGGTTTTTTGTTTTGTTTTGGTTTTGGCCGCACCACTTGGCATTCGGGATCTTAGTTCCCTGACCAGGAATGAAACCCATGCCCCTCAGTGGAAGCCTAGGGTCTTAACCACTAGACCACCAGGGAAGTCCCTCTACCCACTTTTATAGACTAATTTCTTTCCAGATGAGTGTCTTAGTTTTCATGTGGTTGATAACTTCACAACATTCACTGAGGACTGAGTTGGGCCTCATGGTCAAGAAGGGCAGTGGGATTTTAACATAGTTTCCTATTGCTGCTATAACAAGTTGCCACAATCTTAGCCTCTTCAAGTAACCCCAATGTATTATACTTATTGAGGTCAGAAATCTAAGTAGATCCACAGGGCTGATTCCTTTTTGGATATTCTAGGGGAGAAACAGTTTCTTGCCTTATTGCAGCTTATAAAGATTGCCTACTCCTTGCAACTTCAAAGCCAATAGCATAGTATTTCTCTCTCTCCTTCTATTGTCACATCTCTTCACTGACCTTCTTTCTTATAAGGACCCTTGTGATCACATTGTGCCCACCTGGATAACCCAGTATACTCTTCTCATATCAAAGTCATTAAATTAATCACATCTGCACTGTTCCTTTTATCATAGAGGAAACCTCCACATGTCTGGAGTTAGGATGTAGATACTGGGGGATAGGGGTGTTTTTCAATTTACCATAATTTCCTTTCCCAGAGTCTAGGGAACCCCAGGCATTTTCACTCTCATGTTTGTCAAAGGTACTCTAATTGTCTCAGCCAGACTGAGATCTGACCTAGGCCTGCCAAGCCTTCCCACAGCCAAACATTGACCCATGGGGATAGATGTGGCTTATGGGAATAGGGGAGGTTTACCCTGGTGTGATAAATAAGCTGGACAGTCTAGGTTGTACCTGAGAGTGGCAGGCTACTCTCATCCAGATATTTACAAATCCTGCCCCACCAAGAGGCAGAGTACAAAGGAGAAATATCCCAGGAGGATTGTCCCTCATGTATAGAGAATCCTGCTAACTTCTTTCTAGGGTGCCCCCTTTGCTTTATACCTCTTACTCAACTTTCAAGTCTAAACTTAGACTTCATTTCCCCTAGGAAAAATTCTGTGGTTCCCAAGCTGAATCTTGCTTGGTGCTCCACCTATTGTTCTCATAGCACCATGGTATACCTAATAGCTATTACTGCTGATTAGTGATGCTAAGGATCTTTCATGTGCCTGTTGGCCATCTGTATGTCTTCTTTGGAAGGATGTCTGTTCAGATATTCTGCTCATTTTCCAATCAATTTTTTTTATGTATGAGATTGTGTTAGCTATTTATATATTTTGAATATTAACCCCTTATCAGTCATATCCTTGGCAAATATTTTCTCCCATTCATTAGGTTGTCTTTTTCTTTTGTTGATGATTTCCTTTGTTGTAAAAAAACGTTTAAGTCTAATTAGGTCCCAGGGTGGGGGTGGGGGGTGAAAGGGAGATTCAAGAGGAAAGTGATACATGTATACATATAGCTGATTTACTTCGTTGTACAGCAGAAACTAGCACAATATTGTAAAGCAATTATACTCGTTTAAAAAAAAGTTAGGTCCCATTTGTTTGTTTTTGCTTTTGTTTCCTTTGCCGTAGGAGACAGATCCCACCCCCCAGAATTGCTATAGTTTGTGTTAAAGAGTTTCCTGCCTATGTGTTCTTCTATGAAATTTATAGTGTAGGGGAATAACATTTAGCCAAGATGGCAGTGGTCAGGCTCTCTCACCCTACTTCCTCTCGCTCACGCCCCACATCCTGTAAACAATGACTTTGCATGGTTATAAAACAGCTGAGGTCATCCATAGCACTGTGCATGTTTGTTCGTGTTACTTACATAAGCACCACCTGAAAAATCCCTTGCAGCTGTGTCAGCCATTATCGAGTAAAGTATGTCTGCAGTTTCTCTGGCTCCTCACATTTTCTTCCAGTTTCCCAGCTCATGCCTTGCCTACCCTGGGTTCAGCAAACAGCGAGACAGTTGGTGTAGTCAGCAGAATATCCAGCAGGTAGGAGAGCCTGAGGATCCAATGGATGGTGGAAGCCAGTGACCACTGTATAGCATGTGATACCCGGTGGCCGTGGTCCTCTCAGCGTGGGCCCTGGTGGAAGATTGGGAGGCAGTGGACAGGTCACTGGATAGTATTGAAAAGGCATTGCAGGTGGTGAGTTCCTGGCTGCCAGATAAGGCAGCACTTACTGCCACTGGCACCATGGGGTGGATATTCTTGACCGCCCTGAAACTAATATGGATAGTGCCCTCCTTGATGCTGTGCAAGTGCACAAATTGCAGAGATGGGAGGAAGAACTAGAGCAGTGTCTGGGTACACTGGAGCAAGAGATGCATAGCCTTGATAAACCCAGCACCTCAGACAATGAGGTAATAAGGGATGGTGACGATGAACAATATGAGACTGCAGGTCCCTGCTTGTTAGCCAGGCCCATTGTGCAGCAGAAGGTAAAGCATGAGCAGCCTGTGGCCCAGAGGGGTCATCCCCAAGGGTCCCCCAGTGTGACTGAGTACATGACTTATCAACCATATACCCAGGCAGAGTTGGTCAACTTGGGTAAACAATTTCTTGGGTAAGAAAAGCTATGACCAACCTAGACAGCGTATTTAAAATAGAGACATTACTTTGCCGACAAAGGTCCATCTAGTCAAAGCTTTGGTTTTTCCAGTATGTATGGATGTGAGAGTTGGACCATAAAGAAAGCTGGGCGCCGAAGAATTGATGCTTTTGAACTGTGGTGTTGCAGAGACTCTTGAGAGTCCCTTGAACTGCAAGGAGATCAAACCAGTCCATCCTAAAGGAAATCAGTCCTGAATATTGATTGGAAGGACTGATGCTGAAGCTCCAATACTTTGGCCAACTGATGCAAAGAACTAACTCCTTAGAAAAGACCCCAATGCTGGGAAAGATTGAAGGCAGGAGGAGAAGGGGATAACAGAGAATGAGATGGTTGAATGGCATCACCGACTCAATGGACATGAGTTTGAGCAAGCTCTTGGAGTTGGTGACAGACAGAGAAGTCTGGCATGCTGCAGTCCATGGGATTGCAAAAAGTTGGACATGACTGAGCAACTGAACTGAACTGACACCTAGAACAAAGGAGCTTCTCGTATGCCATTCCATTGTCACAAGAGTTGCAACATTTTCCAGGGCCTGTTACATTTACAGTGGAAATATTGGAAGACACCCCAATGATGATGGAGCCAGAACCCTCACCATTTAAAGAAGGTAAACCTCTGATAGATGTTCAATCTTGGTATACTGATGGGTCCAGGAGAGGCCAAGCCTCTATCCAGGAGGCTTGGCCTCTCCTGGACCACTATTGCTTTCCAGCCCGCCACGGATACCATGTGGTTTCACCCTTAGTACACTTGTTTCAATGCTATTCTCTCAGAACATCCCACCCTCGCCTTCTCCCACAGAGTCCAAAAGTCTGTTCTGTACATCTGTGTCTCTTTTTTTGCATATAGGGTTATCATTACCATCTTTCTAAATTCCATATATATGTGTTAGTATACTGTAATGGTCTTTATCTTTCTGGCTTACTTCGCTCTGTATAATGGGCTCCAGTTTCATCCATCTCATTAGAACTGATTCAAATGAATTCTTTTTAATGGCTGAGTAATATTCCATGGTGTATATGTACCACAGCTTCCTTAACCATTCGTCTGCTGATGGGC